GACTTCTTCAACCAATATGATGCAAGCCAAACTCATAGCCAATTAGAGAAAAGCAGCATTAATTGCAACCTATGTACTGTATTGCAAGATTTGGATAGCATTAACTGCAATTAATGCTATCCAAATGTAGTTGTTGAGTTTTGAATTTGTAACTGACACTTCAGACCATAATTTGAGATATAAAAGTTTTGGGAGAAAATTATTCAAGATAAACAGGGAAAATATATTGAATTTATGCTGAAAATGAATCAAAATAAATAAATAAATTGCAAGATAAACATGTTTCAGATAGACAACTTCAACTTTAATTGTCAAAATATATATATATATATATATATATATATTAAAAATATATAAATGTAATTCTAAACCTTTAAAAGGAAAGGCACTTAAAAAAAATAAAATCACTTCAATCTTTTCATGGGTTGATATGACATTATTAAAGCAGTCAACAGCATGTAATGAAATTGTATCCTGGTACTCTTGTACAGTAAAGTGTGTTCATATTGTGTTATGTTTTCTGTGTTTCCAATTTCACTACTGAAGAGAAACTGTCAAAAAATACAGTTTGAAATGTATTTAGTATAAATAAATCTCTACTAATACAAATAAAAAAAAAATTGTTAAAAAGATTGAAGTGATTTTATTTTTTTAAAGTACCCCTTTGAAGGTTTTATAATTACAAATATATTTTAATCAATCTCCTGTAACATACAAGTAAAAATTAATTATTATTTAAAACACAATTAATTTATTGCATTTAAAATTATATTGTTATTTAATTAAAAATAATTGTGAATCACATCTACAAGTTGTTAACTAAGGATGCTGTAGAGTATCATACTACTAATCACAAAGTAACTAGCATCATTATCAAATTGGTATATATTGGTGATAAACCTCATTTCTGTTGCTTACAGTCAATAAGAAAGTAGAAGTTTTAGTCTTCATAGTTTTAGAATTTGTTGAGTGATTTTAAGATTGATGAAGGATGGTGACAGAAAATATTAGTTAAGAAACTTTATGTATTTTTTAAAATCAGATCATAATATAAAGAATCATAACAGCTTTAAATAAAAAATATATTCTGTAGTCTATGACTACTAAATATGTTTACAATATTTCATGATAAACTTATGATAAAATCTATTTTTATTAATCTATTTTGAATTTTGAAGTTGTAGATATAAAACTACAGGTGGCCTTCAACTTTCGCACATAATTGGTTCCTGAAAGTGTGCGCAAATGTTGAATGTTCGAAAGTATAGGAATGTAAAAAAATATGCACCATAAACTGTGTTTTAAAGTATTTATTTATCAATACGTATACATAATGAAGTTAATGAGGCATGTTTAAGTGTGTGTCTTTCTCAATCACCCTACATACTTGAGATATACGTTCTCCATTGGGATCACATTCTTCCATGATAGTCAAAATTTGTCAAAATGCATGAAGGCTTCATTCATATTTTTCATTGTCATAGTCTTGACGTTTTCATCAGCTTCTTCTTTCTCACTTTCATTGTTGCTCAATTATGTTTTAATTTGACAGAGGTACTGAGTGAGATTCAATCAACTCATTAATATCATTGTTGATGTCCAAGTTTGATTCATTCATTAGGCTAACTATTTTATCTGTGATAGTTTCCAGTGTTTCTTCAAAATTGATAAAATCACTCATCATTTGTGGGCATAATTGTTTCCAGAAACCTTTCATTGTCGACTCTTTTATTTTAGCCCACGAGTCTCCAATATTGTTTATTGCATTCCATATATTATAGTTCTTCCAAAAATTTGTTAATGTTGTCCCATCTTCCCTGTCAGTTGCCTTGATGGCCTTAGTCATTATTGTCCTCATATAATATCGTTTAAACATAGCTATCACTGTCTGGTCCATGGGCTGTATGAGGCAGGTAGTATTGGGAGGAAGAAACACAACATTTATTTCCAGGTATAAATTCTGCAGAGATTTTGGGTGTCCTGGAGCATTGTCTAAAATTAATAATCCTTTAAATTGTAAATTATTATTTTTACAATATTGCTTAACCATTGGCATGAAATGAAAAGTGAACCAATCTTTAAATATTAGCACAGTAACACAGGCATTTTTATTTAATTTCCAAATGACTGAAAGCAATTCTTTATCTTTCTCTTTCAATGCTCTGGGATTTTCCACTTGGTAAACAAACAATGGCTTCAATTTTAAATCACTAACTAAGTTTCCACCAAGAAGCAATGTCAATCAGTTTTTGGAAGGTTTATGTCCAGAAGCAACTGATTCTTCCTTTGACAAAAATGTACAATTAGGCATTTTTTCCCAAAATAAACCAGTCTCATCTACATTGAATATTTGACTAGGAGAATATTCTCCATCTACAATAATTTTGGACAATGAGGAAATAAATTATTTCACATCATCTTTATCTGCATCAGCTGATTCTCCAGTGAATTTAATATTATGTAAAGAATATCTCATTTTAAATTTGTCAAACCAACCATTACTTGCATGAAACACTGTTAGAATCTTCATTTAATCTAGTCTTCCAATCGTCATGCAAGCTAAGAGCCTTAGCTTAAATAATTGAAAAATTCAGAGGGACATTATTAAACATCTGATTGAAGCAAAAGATTCACCATTTTCAGAATATTTAATTATTTCCATCTTTGTCTCGATTGTACGAAGTTTATGAGTCCTTAATTTCTTTTTGTTTATATTAACACTGAAGTTTCTCTGTTTCTCACTCATGTTTATCAATTTATAAGGATGAAATATTTAAACATAAACAAATAAATTGGCAAAACACACAACACGTTAATGCATGCCCTAATGCAAGACTGAAACTGTTTTGACCTCTTGCTCGGAACAACACAGTAGTGATTACGATTCCAAGAAGTCCGCTATTGTAGGAAATAATGTGTGTCCAAGAATGTAGAGCGAGCTACCGCACTTTGTAGTGTATGAACATTCGGCATGAAAGCAAATTTTTTCATTATTGACAAAAACATTTAAGAAGTGAAGTTTTTAAAAATGTGCGAAATAGTGAATTGTGTGAAAATCAAGGGCCGCCTGTACAAATTTATACATTTATTTTAATGAAATGACAAGTTAATAAAAACACAACATAGGTACGAACATAACATAATATAGGCCTATCTTATAATTTGTCTACATCATTAAAAACATATTAAAATATAATGGTACAAATGATGTTCATTGCTTTACTGAGTGGAGCTATGCATAAGTCAAAATGATCTTGTCTGTGATCAAAGTTTAAAGCAATCACATGATCACTAAATGTGATTTTTTGCAAGTATATACAACTCAGCAAGGCCAATATCATAATGAAACCAGAATTTTGAAATTTGATCTATAGGCTGAGATATTCAAGATCAAAATTTGCCATGTAAAGTATATAACTGATTACCAGTTGCAAGCTGGTCACACACTACATGTCTATCATACACATTTTATGATACACAGTCCAATTGATAACAATTGGACTGTGATCATAAAAGTTTAGTCATTATATTGATCATAAAAAAATGTTATAGAGATCAATTTACATTGGACATGCACATCCTTCCCCAAAATCTGCATATTTTAAACTGCTTTAGACAGAATGTTAGAAGCATGTCACCATATTTGTTTTTTTGTGTGAAACCAAAACAGAAAAACCTATAACACAAAACTGTTTCATTTTCCTATAAAATACCTAGTAATTGTATATACCATCATATGATAATGATACATCTTTAAATTACAGTGTTCTTTAAATTTAAAAATTTTTATTTTAATTTTTGGGAAAATTTTAAGTCTGAAAATATTCTGCATCCCTGCTTATATGTAAAAATTGAACAAGCATACTTTATTTTATGAATTTTACATTTCCATAAATTATCCTTCCTATTGAATTTTATAATGCTTCACCATTTTTCAATTTTTCAGATTTATTAATCATACAATTAGTATTTTTAATCAATCTACACTATTATTGATAAAGAAATAAAATTCTTCCATTATGTCTATGGCATAGTTCAACACACAAACAAAAGCTTTTAGTTGTGATGAGAATAGGAATATTCTGCTAAAAACATTTTCTTATCAATGATTTTTAAGGCAAGCTTTGTAATGCACGATTTCTCCAGAACATCCAATCATGACATCAGAAGATCATGTGCCATTTTTAGATGTGAACATGAATCATTTTTAGACAGGTATGACCTTGCAACTTGGTCTTGCACAAGAAGAATTTTTAGACATACCCTTAGCTATTTGCAAACTGGAAGCACTCATTTTCTGTACATTCTATGTTATTAGTTTTAACAAAATGATTGGTTTGACCCAGCACACTGACAATTCTATTCAAACAAAGACTTAAAACCTATACATGTTCTTTCATTAGTATGCCTATTTGAGAATACAGTAGAGTGTTGATTATCTCAATGTCGATCAACCGAAAGCGTTCCAGTCGGACTGTGTCGTGCTGAATCAAACGTTTTTGATATTAGATTAACTTCTAAAGTATAATTTTTTTTTGTTTTTATATATTTCAATACATTAATTTTGTTTGTACAAAATAAAGAAATAATTTTTAACGATACAATAGCCATGATTATTATAATAAAAATTTTCATTAGGCTTAACATCGATGAAAATTCAATGCAAAATGACATGCAACAGAGAAAAATTTAAACATGGGATATACTAATATACTTTATTAATAATTTATTTTTTTATATATAATCAGTTATCCAAAAAATCTATTTTCCAAACAACCCCAGTCTCCAATTGATTTGGATAATCGACACTCTACTGTATAACAGATTGCTCTTTAGTTTTAAGAGGGTTATCTGTAAAACCATAATTTATAAGTGACTTCCATAGAAACTACAAAAAATTCACATGTGTGGCATCTCTGTATTTTATCTCACTCAAATCACGAGATCTTTTAAAAATAATTGTTAAAACACTAAAATAATATAAAATTAAAGATATTAACCTTGCCATGAAATAAGAACATCATTTGACAATTTTCCATCTAATACATCTCCATCTATTTCTGATTGACTTTCTGCTTCTGTTTCAGTTGTTTCATCCACATCACTTAAATAGAAAACAATAATGCATTAATTTATTTATGTCAAACTTAAATTAATATAATTTTGACTAAATAATAACAATAAAATACAAATACAATATAAACATTTTTGAATAAATAGTTTATTAGTAATTTTGATTTTATTCTATTAATATGTACAGTACATTTTTCCTGCTATCTTGTAGACCAAAAGTAAAGTATCTCTTAATCCTAGTTACTTTCAGACTTTTCAGCCACCATTAGAATTTTTGTACCTTGATGAAATGCAAGAGGCCAGGAAGTACTTTAAATAAGGAAAAAAAAAAAACTATTTTTGGCTTCAAGAAAACATAAAAGTGTATACAGTAGACCCCCCTATAACACAGGTTCATATAATGTAGATTCGTATATCGAGGCGAAAAAATTGCGACTGTATTCATATAAAGACGCTAACAGAGACTTGTAAAATGCGGTAAAACGTCATCACTGACTCGTGTCGTGACAAGAGTGGTCGAATCTGGACCAATAGTGGATGAACAGCCGAACTACTTTCCACCGTCCAGCGCCACGCTACGGAAAGTTTAGGCAGGTAAGTTGAGTTTACTATCGTCTGTACAGTATATAAATTAGGTACTGTAAGTCTAATACAGTACTGTAATTTTATACATTTCCTGTGAAAAAAACATTTCTTATTCAACAGCCATAAAAATTATTTCTATTAATGATGTCTCCAAAGTTCAACAAACTTTTTGCAGAAAAATAACTTATCAGAAAACGTGCCTGCCATTTGGTGCGCTGCTCCGCAATGAAAACAAGCTTAAGCAATAATGTCGTCAAACAGTGCACACTCGGTAAGTAATCTTACAATTTTTTGTTTATAGCATAGTTTATACGGATTATTCCAAAAAATTATACATATTTTGGAAATGTTGAGTCAAATTAGTCTAGAATCGATTAATTTTATGGAAGAAAACCTTTCAAACAGCCGCAGTCCGTAAACTGCACACATTCTGGGCTGTAATTGGCTTATGTGTTTAAGGATTCCTACAATGCGAAATTCTTATAAAGTGGAACGTATCTACCGCATTATAGGGAGGTCGACTGTATTATTATTTATTTAGTACAAGGTACAAATACCCTTTGTACGAGGAACAAAATAAAAAGGAAAACACTGAACAAACATCATCCCATAACAAACAATTACAGTAAACATATAGTAAAAAGTAATCCCTGTACAAAGTCCAAGTGTGTACATGCAAAAACCAAAACATAATATACAATAATCATAACATATATGTAACATCCCGTGCATAATACAACTTCAGTACATAAATAAAATATCCGTTACAAAAGAATATAATTACAAAAACATAATACAAAATCCCATACATGATAATTGGTACATATTATCATAAAGGTGTATATGTTAAGGTAAGTAGAGAGATAAACTTGTTATGCTATTAAAAAAATGCCAATGATTTTTGAATTTAGTAGTAGTAGTAGTTCAAATTAAAAAAACTAAATACAGTAAAACCTGTCCAAAACAAACACCTGTATAAATAGAAAAATTCTTCAAAACTAATTTTCTATGTTAAAAAACCTGTTCAAAATAGAACCTGCCAAACCAGAAAAAAATAAATAAATAATATTTGGTACCATGTGATTCTGGTTTACATAGGTTTTACAGATGCATATGTTTAATAACTTTCTTTCATAAAGATGGTTCATGAAGCTGAATGATAAAACTATATCCGAGTACTCAAGATATTGAATAATTTGAATATGAGTGACCTAACTACTGTGAGAAGCTGGGGGCACAGGGAAATTCCTTAAATGCTACTTATATGGCAACAGGTTGGCGAGATCTGCTCACATTGTCTGGGGATAACTAGGATAAGTGGAGTGGAGAGGTCATGACTAAGTAGATAAGTGTCTCGGTTACTGAAACAATAGGCAAGTAGACAGGTTTAAACATAACAAACAAGAGTTTAATATATATATCTATGCTAGGATACATAGAGAATACACATATATAACTAAATATACCAATTACATGCAGATATTAATCTAATATTACTAGAAGCAGGGCGACTAGTCTCTTTCCTATATCACAAAATCACAAGTGTGTACCTAATTTCTTGACGATAGAGCGTTTACAATCGTTCTAGCAAAATACCTTGGGATAGAGAACCAATTTGTCAACCTTGGGGCATATTGGTTGTCAACAGAGATAGGGAGCTGGATCGATTGCTTCTTAGAAAGGTCCATTGAGGGCGGCAAGATGAAAGACTTTTTGTGTGGAGGTCTAGGAATATGTCAAGCCTTGGGTCCTCTTCTATGATAATGTCAGCATCAAATGGATCCAGCAATGTCCTGATCCTGGCTATGTTCGCCTCGGATATGGAGAGAAAGGAGCGTTGCCATGTATGGCATCTGATGACGTTCACCTGGATATGGTGTCATATAGAGTCCACCACGACTGGAGTTCTAGTCTCTCTTTTATCTGCTCTCGCATGGGAAAATAGTCGTGTGATCGACTGTTTACTGCTGAACATGAAGATGTGAGGTGAAGGGTTACCATTGATGACGATATGATGTCGACCAATTGCAGCTGTCTTGTCCCTATTTGGTTCAATATCTGCTATTGACTCATTTGTCAGTTGACTTTCTCCTTCTCTAACAGCAGGTTGTTATCGTTTTACTCTAACCTTTGTTAACAGGAAGTGTGTCATTCACTGGGTTTTTCGAGCGATGTTATTTTAACGACCACGTTAGGGAATTAAGTTAAAATTACTTAAAAATTAAGTAAAACATCTCTAAAATCCTGGATCTCACATACTACCTAAAAGTTTCAATTATACAATTTTTTATAAATGATTTTCAGAAACCTATGACTTTATCACATGTACTTTTTTTTCTAAATTACATAAGACAGGCTGCTGATGTTAACTAAAGCCCTGGTCACACTATGCAATTTCTAGCCGCGCAGGCGACTGCAACTGCAACAAGCGTGAGTTGCGCGCGTCTTCTCGTGGTCACACATTGTTCGTTGACGTTGCAACTCGGAAACACGTGGCCCTATAATAAACCAATAAAATTACAGTAGTTTGTTTTTGACTACTTTCGTGAGCTTGCCGATATTTTATGTTCTACTTCAGAGTATTTACAGAATTTTAGCCACTTTTCTTATTAAAATAGCAAGCAGTTCCTTTTCTGGAATGAATAAAAGAAAAAAGGCGATTATTTTAATAGAGCTGGCGAAAATACATGAAAAGATAAAATCTTCGATAAAACGAAGAATTAAAATCCCACAGGTATTCGTGAGCCTGAATAAGCTCGATCAATCTCGATTCTGTAAAAGTATTAATCCTCTGACTATCCGCCATGATGATGAACTATTTTCAATGTTGTCACTGTATGACGTGGCATAAAGGCGTTTGTTGATTGGATGCGCGTTTGCAATCGTCGCGAATAGAACAAACTTTTTGTTTCTAGTTGCGATTGCAGTCGTGCCGGGGGATTACTAGTTAACGGGAACAGCTGTCGCGGTTGCAGTCGCCTGCGCGGCTGGAAATCGCATAGTGTGACCAGGGCTTAAGACACACTACAAAAGTACAGCAAATCCTCACTTAATGTCATTGATAGGTTCTTGAAAACTGCAATGTTAAGTGAAAATGATGTAAAATGAGACCAATTTTGACATAGGCTAATTGATATAAGCAAGATATAATCCTTTGATGAGAATGTTTACTGGTGGCTTCCTCTGCTCCTAAAGTTAGTCAGTTTTTAAAAATGTAAAATATTTAAAAAAAAAATTAATATATTGTCTTCTAAATTCATATATTTTAATAAAATAAGCTATATTTTCCTTTTCCAATTCAATTGTGTTGAATAATTCCAACAATCTATAACGAGACAGTGAGTGTAAACAATGACTACTGTATATGTCATGTTTGTCTTTACATCAGAAAATTCGATGCTAAATCTCACAAAACTTACAAAAACCACATAGAAAAAATTTTCTAAATTTGTCAATAGATGTCTTTAGCTGTCTGTAAAGTTTTGTTTTCCACAAATATATGAGTGTACTATAACAAGACAAACTTGAATAACTTACCGTACATAAATGTGCTTACTCTGTACAGCCCATTACATTTACCATGTATATTTATGGGAGTAATCATCAAAGAGTTAATACTATTCTAAACTGGATCATGTTTGCACCTCCAGCATTTATTTCCCACCTCACAGAACCAATTTTACTGTTTATAAAGGAAATTCAACAATGATAATTATAAATGATTATATATGTACCTTTATGTTTCCCCAATAACAAAATGATATTAAATGAGAATTTGCTGTATATGAGATTTATACTAAACATTATTTATTTTTCTTGTTTTACTTTCACATCCTTTGAAAATGAACTTCAACATTAGTTTCCTATATTAGTTATGACAAGGTGTTCTCTGAAGGTAGTCAAAATAAAATTTTAAATTTAGTAACTCCAACTGCAAATGATTGTTACATCAGTACCAAACAATAGTAAAAACAGATACAATGCTATTCAGAAGTTAGATCTTAAAGTCCACATATGATTTGTGAACGAGACAGATTTTTCGAGAGAGATGAGTGGCAAATCTATGTTTGTGTCAATTCCTTTGACAAAATGAATTCGCATTACATCATCTAAAAAGAAAACTAAGGCAGAAGATTTTGTTCAGACATTAAGAAGAGTTTGCCCTCCAATGACTGCAAGTTTCATTACCAGATATTATGGTTATTAATGATGTGAAACCTAACACATACACAAATATCATTTGTTTTAAACTTTTAACAATTTAGTAATTTAAAATTTTTCTGTGAAACTGATCTTTTAAAACTTGAAAATAATTTATTAGAATACATATTCAATTAAAAACAGATTAGTTAGAGTAAATCTTTATTAATTACTATTATTGCTTTTTAATACCTTTGCACACTTAAATTTTTATTTTAATTGTGTATAATCTTATACAATGGAACCTGATTAACTCAAATTGGCCAGGGAAAAAATTTTGAGTTTTGAATTATGGAGTTCAGCTAAAAATCAAGATTTTGTGTATTGGTTTATTGTTGACCCATAATAAACTATCCTTATGATATTTCCATGCATCTTATTACATTGTCATTGTGTTAGTGTAAGCATCTTAATGTTGTCCAGAAACTCAAAAACACTTAAACAAATGGTTCAATAAGCTACTGAGAAATGCTTTCCTGAACAGTTGATCTGTTCATTCCTAAGTGTATTTTTTTTAAAATTGTGATATTTTATATGTAGAATCAATCTACTTTTTATTTTTTTTTACAAACATATCACTTTTTACAATTGTTAGTTTTAAAATTTTGCCACATTCACTAAAATGCTTATATGGAATTGTACTTTAATCGTTTTTAAAAATGAATTTATCAAAAATACATTTATTTATTATCTTGGCTAGTTGGAGAAATCCATCAGTAATAAAATAAAAAAAAGCAGGTTTGAATGGTAATTACAATAGCTAGATCACAAACGCTGACTAGAAGCCACCACTTGCCATCACATGAAATGATGTTTATCTTTATTCATACATGGTTCTTATGCTTTATAGAAAGCTTCTGATTAGTTTATTTGATAGATAAAGGTTAATTATTTTATTTAATGGAAAATTAAAATTCTAGAAAGTTTATGAAAATACTGTATCAAAATCCCATTTGAGTTAAACAGTTTAACAAATTCGAGTTAACCAGTTTGATTTAACATGTAAATCCCTATGCTAGATGATTCGGAAAAGAAAATTANATTTGATAGATAAAGGTTAATTATTTTATATGAATTAAAATTTATAATGAATTAAAATTATGCAAATACTGTATCAAAATCCCATTTAAGTTAAACAGTTTGATTTAATATGTAAATCCCTATGCTAGATGATTCGGAAAAGAAAATTATTTTGAATAAATGCAACTTCAAGTTATCCCAGTTCAAGTTAACAAGGTACCACTGTAGATGTTTTTGACTGCATTGTACTGGTATGAAGAGAAAAACTATATCAATTGGAGATAGTTATTTAGATTTTTAATTTCAATCTATGCTCATAGAATTTCACCTAAATGCAAAATTTCCAGCAATGAAACACCCACAGGCTCCTTGGGATCTGAGCCAAAGTAAAAATTTGGCTCAGATCCCAAGATATCACACATTGGTCAAGGCGGATAAAAGCAAGACGGTCGTGATCATGAATAGGACCACCTACATCCATACATTACAGCAATACATAGTAGACACACAATGTCAGTTCACTGAGGCCTCATATATAATGAAACTACAAAGTCGGGTCAGTAGGTTCATGCACACAAGCCAAGCAATGGCAGCACACAATAGTCCACTCCACTGACACACCCTGCCTGTTCTCCTTTGCAAAAATGCACAAACCTGGTCAACATTTGCATCCCGTGATCAATAAAGCCAATCCCCAACATATTTGTTGGAAGATTTGACCCATTACTTGTTAAAGCACAACCTTCAATCATATACATATATGATCTCCGATTTAGGTGCACTTCTATCCAAACTTGCAGTTATTAATTTAAGTGGGAACAAATGTCTTACGACATTTGATTTTGTATCCATGTTTCCATCTATTCATTTAAAACCATGTTTTTGCACTTTTAAGAGATTTCTTTCTAAGCACTACCCCTGATGCTCAGTCACTCTCAGATATTACACCTAGTGCACCTGTTGTGCTATTCCTCATGTTTTTACTTTGATGAACGCACATACATCCAAAAAAGGGGGTACCCATGCATAGCCCCATTTCAGGTGATCTTTGTAAACTGGTTGTATGACAATTGGAGGAGCAGTCCTTAGTAAACTTCAAGCATAATATCCTCATTTATACCTGATACATTGATGACATTTTGATTATATGGAGAAATAGATTGGATATTGGGAATGTTTTAAAAGTGTTCAATACTAAAAACTATGGATTAACACTAAAATTAGATCAAGAAAGCCACACGCATGTTAATTTCTTAAACATCAAGATTCAGATAGTGGATAATAAGTTCAACACCACAGTGTACCGCAAACCTACTTACGCCCCCCTATTCATACCAACCAACTCAGCTGACCCATGGTCACATAAGGCAGCCATGTTCCATGCACTAGTTGCAAGAGCCCACTCACATTGTACACAGTTCTCAGATACCAACGAAGAGTTAGAACAACTGAAACACATTGCATCCAAGCATGGGTACAGCCACTCATTTATCAATAATATAATGTCCACATATCATGCTAGGTCACTCAATACCAATACTAATGTTAAAAACACAGAAGGGAATGGGGTAGTCCTAAGCTACAAACTGTCCCTCCATCACATATACAGGAAGATTGCCAAGGATTTAAACATACTCGTAGTGTTCAAAAGGAAACCCAGCGTTTTCTGCCTTTTGTCTAAAGCAAAAGATGACACCAAAGATGCAAGAGCACCTGGAATTTACCGCATCCCACTAAAGGATGATAGATTCAATAGGACACTAATGTATATTGGTTCCATGTACAGATCATTACAAGCCAGGTCATGAGATCACAAGTACGATGTAGCAAAAGGAAACATTAATATGGTCTGGTCCAATCCGGGAATTCCCCCTTATGGGACAAGGCTACCCTAATACACGGTATTTGACAGACAAACATAAGATCATTGAAGGCCACATAAATCTACAGGGCCGACATGAGAAGAGTGTGCATCAACACTGACTGCATTCCTGTACCAAATGCATGGAGGTATTATTTAGACTCCTAAAGAATATACATTGCTTACGATACGTCACAACCGTTGTTCTAACTGATTTGAAACTTTTGATTGAATGCGGCTACATTCTATAAATAGAACAATCATTTCGTTTTACATTTCCTGAGGAAGGCTGATAAAGGAATGGCCAAAAACATTTGAATACTGAATTTGGATGCTTTGTTGTTGGAAATATTGCATTTAGGTAAGATTCTATACATATATGGTTCCAGTTTGCATGTGCTGTTGTGGTTTTTATGTTTCAATCTATGTTTTCTTAAAAGCATCTTCACCTGCAGAAAATGGAAACTAGTTCATTTTGTCATTGTAACTAGGGTCGTCAAATTGAAGAAAGAAAATCTGAATTAAGTTACTTTTTATATGACGTGACTTATTAATAATTTTGGCAGAGAAATCTGATGAATCTTGCAAATTTTTTTGTTTTTACCTTACTCTTCAACATTGGGATATTTTTCAGATAATTTTGTTACTTTTTTAAAAAGTCTGCAAATGAATTTTTAATTGAAACCAAATCCATTATAATGCTTACTTTTCTCTCTTTTACTAGATGAATCAAAGTTTAGCAAAATTTGTCTTAGAAGTTTTGACAAAGAAAGTGATAGAAATTAAAAGACAGTGATAAAATATAGGATAGCAAAAAGAACATTATTAACAACTAAAGAATCAAGAAAACCTTGAAGCAGCTTGCATGGTTAAGACTGTAATGTATGAAGTGGATTAATAAGTTATCAATAATGACAATAAAAAAATTAAAAAATAATGACAATAATTACCTCAGAGGAGAAATAAAATAATTCCTTATATAATCTAAAAATGAATCAAGACGAACTGCATGTTCTAGCCTTTGGACATGAAGTGGTTTTGCTAGCAAACCATGATCATTACTTATGGAGGTTTCCGATGCAGATCTACACGCCATATCTGTAACATTATAAAATTTTTTATTATATAATTATTACATTAAATATCAATTTAAGTATAAAAAATATAATAATAATATGTTCCTTGTACATCTTTTGACTGTTTTAAAAAAATTTACAATATGTTGAAATTATTTATATATCAATTGTTTACTGTATAAAATTCTGTTTATATTTAAAATTTTAATTAAATTTACATCTTATGAAATATTAAAAGTTTTTCTTGGCACTAAATCATAATTTTCTAACAATCATTTATCAAAAGAAAATCAATCGCCACAACTTTGATTTACAGCCAACCATCTTTCTACCACAAAGAAATCTCAAATTTAATAAAAAACAATCTTTTCTGCCAATTTCATCTATGTCACAAAAAAAAAAAAAAAAAAAAAAAAAAAAAAAAAAAAAAAAAAAAAAAAAAAAAAAAAAAAAAAAAAAAAAAAAAAAAAAAAAAAAAAAAAAAAAAAAAAAAAAAAAAAAAAAAAAAAAAAAAAAAAAAAAAAAAAAAAAAAAAAAAAAAAAAAAAAAAAAAAAAAAAAAAAAAAAAAAAAAAAAAAAAAAAAAAAAAAAAAAAAAAAAAAAAAAAAAAAAAAAAAAAAAAAAAAAAAAAAAAAAAAAAAAAAAAAAAAAAAAAAAAAAAAAAAAAAAAAAAAAAAAAAAAAAAAAAAAAAAAAAAAAAAAAAAAAAAAAAAAAAAAAAAAAAAAAAAAAAAAAAAAAAAAAAAAAAAAAAAAAAAAAAAAAAAAAAAAAAAAAAAAAAAAAAAAAAAAAAAAAAAAAAAAAAAAAAAAAAAAAAAAAAAAAAAAAAAAAAAAAAAAAAAAAAAAAAAAAAAAAAAAAAAAAAAAAAAAAAAAAAAAAAAAAAAAAAAAAAAAAAAAAAAAAAAAAAAAAAAAAAAAAAAAAAAAAAAAAAAAAAAAAAAAAAAAAAAAAAAAAAAAAAAAAAAAAAAAAAAAAAAAAAAAAAAAAAAAAAAAAAAAAAAAAAAAAAAAAAAAAAAAAAAAAAAAAAAAAAAAAAAAAAAAAAAAAAAAAAAAAAAAAAAAAAAAAAAAAAAAAAAAAAAAAAAAAAAAAAAAAAAAAAAAAAAAAAAAAAAAAAAAAAAAAAAAAAAAAAAAAAAAAAAAAAAAAAAAAAAAAAAAAAAAAAAAAAAAAAAAAAAAAAAAAAAAAAAAAAAAAAAAAAAAAAAAAAAAAAAAAAAAAAAAAAAAAAAAAAAAAAAAAAAAAAAAAAAAAAAAAAAAAAAAAAAAAAAAAAAAAAAAAAAAAAAAAAAAAAAAAAAAAAAAAAAAAAAAAAAAAAAAAAAAAAAAAAAAAAAAAAAAAAAAAAAAAAAAAAAAAAAAAAAAAAAAAAAAAAAAAAAAAAAAAAAAAAAAAAAAAAAAAAAAAAAAAAAAAAAAAAAAAAAAAAAAAAAAAAAAAAAAAAAAAAAAAAAAAAAAAAAAAAAAAAAAAAAAAAAAAAAAAAAAAAAAAAAAAAAAAAAAAAAAAAAAAAAAAAAAAAAAAAAAAAAAAAAAAAAAAAAAAAAAAAAAAAAAAAAAAAAAAAAAAAAAAAAAAAAAAAAAAAAAAAAAAAAAAAAAAAAAAAAAAAAAAAAAAAAAAAAAAAAAAAAAAAAAAAAAAAAAAAAAAAAAAAAAAAAAAAAAAAAAAAAAAAAAAAAAAAAAAAAAAAAAAAAAAAAAAAAAAAAAAAAAAAAAAAAAAAAAAAAAAAAAAAAAAAAAAAAAAAAAAAAAAAAAAAAAAAAAAAAAAAAAAAAAAAAAAAAAAAAAAAAAAAAAAAAAAAAAAAAAAAAAAAAAAAAAAAAAAAAAAAAAAAAAAAAAAAAAAAAAAAAAAAAAAAAAAAAAAAAAAAAAAAAAAAAAAAAAAAAAAAAAAAAAAAAAAAAAAAAAAAAAAAAAAAAAAAAAAAAAAAAAAAAAAAAAAAAAAAAAAAAAAAAAAAAAAAAAAAAAAAAAAAAAAAAAAAAAAAAAAAAAAAAAAAAAAAAAAAAAAAAAAAAAAAAAAAAAAAAAAAAAAAAAAAAAAAAAAAAAAAAAAAAAAAAAAAAAAAAAAAAAAAAAAAAAAAAAAAAAAAAAAAAAAAAAAAAAAAAAAAAAAAAAAAAAAAAAAAAAAAAAAAAAAAAAAAAAAAAAAAAAAAAAAAAAAAAAAAAAAAAAAAAAAAAAAAAAAAAAAAAAAAAAAAAAAAAAAAAAAAAAAAAAAAAAAAAAAAAAAAAAAAAAAAAAAAAAAAAAAAAAAAAAAAAAAAAAAAAAAAAAAAAAAAAAAAAAAAAAAAAAAAAAAAAAAAAAAAAAAAAAAAAAAAAAAAAAAAAAAAAAAAAAAAAAAAAAAAAAAAAAAAAAAAAAAAAAAAAAAAAAAAAAAAAAAAAAAAAAAAAAAAAAAAAAAAAAAAAAAAAAAAAAAAAAAAAAAAAAAAAAAAAAAAAAAAAAAAAAAAAAAAAAAAAAAAAAAAAAAAAAAAAAAAAAAAAAAAAAAAAAAAAAAAAAAAAAAAAAAAAAAAAAAAAAAAAAAAAAAAAAAAAAAAAAAAAAAAAAAAAAAAAAAAAAAAAAAAAAAAAAAAAAAAAAAAAAAAAAAAAAAAAAAAAAAAAAAAAAAAAAAAAAAAAAAAAAAAAAAAAAAAAAAAAAAAAAAAAAAAAAAAAAAAAAAAAAAAAAAAAAAAAAAAAAAAAAAAAAAAAAAAAAAAAAAAAAAAAAAAAAAAAAAAAAAAAAAAAAAAAAAAAAAAAAAAAAAAAAAAAAAAAAAAAAAAAAAAAAAAAAAAAAAAAAAAAAAAAAAAAAAAAAAAAAAAAAAAAAAAAAAAAAAAAAAAAAAAAAAAAAAAAAAAAAAAAAAAAAAAAAAAAAAAAAAAAAAAAAAAAAAAAAAAAAAAAAAAAAAAAAAAAAAAAAAAAAAAAAAAAAAAAAAAAAAAAAAAAAAAAAAAAAAAAAAAAAAAAAAAAAAAAAAAAAAAAAAAAAAAAAAAAAAAAAAAAAAAAAAAAAAAAAAAAAAAAAAAAAAAAAAAAAAAAAAAAAAAAAAAAAAAAAAAAAAAAAAAAAAAAAAAAAAAAAAAAAAAAAAAAAAAAAAAAAAAAAAAAAAAAAAAAAAAAAAAAAAAAAAAAAAAAAAAAAAAAAAAAAAAAAAAAAAAAAAAAAAAAAAAAAAAAAAAAAAAAAAAAAAAAAAAAAAAAAAAAAAAAAAAAAAAAAAAAAAAAAAAAAAAAAAAAAAAAAAAAAAAAAAAAAAAAAAAAAAAAAAAAAAAAAAAAAAAAAAAAAAAAAAAAAAAAAAAAAAAAAAAAAAAAAAAAAAAAAAAAAAAAAAAAAAAAAAAAAAAAAAAAAAAAAAAAAAAAAAAAAAAAAAAAAAAAAAAAAAAAAAAAAAAAAAAAAAAAAAAAAAAAAAAAAAAAAAAAAAAAAAAAAAAAAAAAAAAAAAAAAAAAAAAAAAAAAAAAAAAAAAAAAAAAAAAAAAAAAAAAAAAAAAAAAAAAAAAAAAAAAAAAAAAAAAAAAAAAAAAAAAAAAAAAAAAAAAAAAAAAAAAAAAAAAAAAAAAAAAAAAAAAAAAAAAAAAAAAAAAAAAAAAAAAAAAAAAAAAAAAAAAAAAAAAAAAAAAAAAAAAAAAAAAAAAAAAAAAAAAAAAAAAAAAAAAAAAAAAAAAAAAAAAAAAAAAAAAAAAAAAAAAAAAAAAAAAAAAAAAAAAAAAAAAAAAAAAAAAAAAAAAAAAAAAAAAAAAAAAAAAAAAAAAAAAAAAAAAAAAAAAAAAAAAAAAAAAAAAAAAAAAAAAAAAAAAAAAAAAAAAAAAAAAAAAAAAAAAAAAAAAAAAAAAAAAAAAAAAAAAAAAAAAAAAAAAAAAAAAAAAAAAAAAAAAAAAAAAAAAAAAAAAAAAAAAAAAAAAAAAAAAAAAAAAAAAAAAAAAAAAAAAAAAAAAAAAAAAAAAAAAAAAAAAAAAAAAAAAAAAAAAAAAAAAAAAAAAAAAAAAAAAAAAAAAAAAAAAAAAAAAAAAAAAAAAAAAAAAAAAAAAAAAAAAAAAAAAAAAAAAAAAAAAAAAAAAAAAAAAAAAAAAAAAAAAAAAAAAAAAAAAAAAAAAAAAAAAAAAAAAAAAAAAAAAAAAAAAAAAAAAAAAAAAAAAAAAAAAAAAAAAAAAAAAAAAAAAAAAAAAAAAAAAAAAAAAAAAAAAAAAAAAAAAAAAAAAAAAAAAAAAAAAAAAAAAAAAAAAAAAAAAAAAAAAAAAAAAAAAAAAAAAAAAAAAAAAAAAAAAAAAAAAAAAAAAAAAAAAAAAAAAAAAAAAAAAAAAAAAAAAAAAAAAAAAAAAAAAAAAAAAAAAAAAAAAAAAAAAAAAAAAAAAAAAAAAAAAAAAAAAAAAAAAAAAAAAAAAAAAAAAAAAAAAAAAAAAAAAAAAAAAAAAAAAAAAAAAAAAAAAAAAAAAAAAAAAAAAAAAAAAAAAAAAAAAAAAAAAAAAAAAAAAAAAAAAAAAAAAAAAAAAAAAAAAAAAAAAAAAAAAAAAAAAAAAAAAAAAAAAAAAAAAAAAAAAAAAAAAAAAAAAAAAAAAAAAAAAAAAAAAAAAAAAAAAAAAAAAAAAAAAAAAAAAAAAAAAAAAAAAAAAAAAAAAAAAAAAAAAAAAAAAAAAAAAAAAAAAAAAAAAAAAAAAAAAAAAAAAAAAAAAAAAAAAAAAAAAAAAAAAAAAAAAAAAAAAAAAAAAAAAAAAAAAAAAAAAAAAAAAAAAAAAAAAAAAAAAAAAAAAAAAAAAAAAAAAAAAAAAAAAAAAAAAAAAAAAAAAAAAAAAAAAAAAAAAAAAAAAAAAAAAAAAAAAAAAAAAAAAAAAAAAAAAAAAAAAAAAAAAAAAAAAAAAAAAAAAAAAAAAAAAAAAAAAAAAAAAAAAAAAAAAAAAAAAAAAAAAAAAAAAAAAAAAAAAAAAAAAAAAAAAAAAAAAAAAAAAAAAAAAAAAAAAAAAAAAAAAAAAAAAAAAAAAAAAAAAAAAAAAAAAAAAAAAAAAAAAAAAAAAAAAAAAAAAAAAAAAAAAAAAAAAAAAAAAAAAAAAAAAAAAAAAAAAAA